AACAAAATCTATGGGACACGCTGAAAGCTTTCATTAGAAGGAAGTTTATAGCTCTAAGTGCCTAAATCAAAAAATTGGAAACAGCCGGGCATGGTAGCACATGCCTTTAATCCCGCACTCTGGAGGCAGAGGCAGGTGGATCTCTGTGAGTTCAAGGTCAGCCTGGTCTACACAGAGAGTTCCAAGACAGCTGGGGCTACAGGGAGACCCTGCCCCAAAAAGACCAAAAAAAAAAAAAAAAACTGGAAAGAGCACAAATAAATGACTTCACATTGCAACTCAAGACAGTTGAAAAGCAACAACAAATGAAACCCAAACCCAACAAACAAGAAGAAATAACAAAAAATCAGGGCAGAAATTAATGAGATCAAAACAAAGAAAACAATACAAAGAATCAACGAATCCAAGAGCTGGTTCTTCGAAAAGATGAACAAGACTGACAGACCGCTAGCCCAGTTAACCAAAAGCAAGAAAAAGCACCTCCAAATCAACAAAATCAGAGATGAAAGGGGAAACATCACAACAGACACCAGAGAGATCCAGAACATTATAAGGGAATACTTTAAAAACCTATATGCTACTAAATTTGAAAACCTAAAAGAAATGCACGGATATCTAAAGGCATGGGAACCACCAAACCTAAACCAAGAAGAGATTAACAGCTTAAACAGGCCCATATCACAAAAAGAAATTGAAACAGTAATACAAAACCTCCCGACTAAAAAAAGCCCAGGACCAGATGGATTTACAGCAGAATTCTATCAGACATTTAAAGAAGATCTACATCCAATTCAACTTAATTTATTCAAAAAAATAGAAATGGAGGGAGAGCTTCCAAATTCCTTCTATGAGGCCAGCATCACTCTAATATGAAAGCCAGGTGAAGAAACAACCAAAAAGAGAACTATAGACCCATATCCTTAATGAACAAAGATGAATTCTATCAGACATTTATCCAATACTATTTAATATATTCAAAAAGATATAAATAGAGGGAGAACTTCCAAATTTCTTCCATGAAGTCAGCATCACTCTAAGACCAAAGCCAGGTAAAGATACAACCAAAAAAGAAAACTGTAGACCCATATCCTTAATTAAAATAGAGGCAAAAATTCTCAACAAAATACTTGAAAACAGCATACAGACACACATCAAAAGGATCATCCACCATGATCAAGTGTGCTTTATCCCAGAGAAGCAGGGATGATTCAATATATGTAAGTCAATAAATGTCATAAATCATATAAATGGGCTCAAAGACATGAACTACATGGTC